CTTAAGGGGTACTCAGTTTCTTTTGGAGATGATGAAAAACTTTTAGCACTAGAGAGTGGTGCTGGCTGCACAACATAATTAACATCACTAAATTGTACACTGAAAAATGGTTCATGTCACTAGAGCACAGGGTAGGGGCAGATACTTCATAGTTCAGGTGTTGGGGAGGGCAATGCACAAGAAGGGGGAGGGGTGGAAGAACAAGGTAGCTAGGAGAACTCTGAAACAGATTTGCATGAGCTAAAGGGGACGGAGCTAAATAGTAATGCATGTTCCACCTTGGAACAACAGGGCTCTGTGATACAGGGATCGAGGCACAGTCTGAAGTGGGGAAATAATACTAAGATGATTGATTATCTTATGAATATTGGTTTCCCTTGCCTGCTATTGTAAAATAGACACTTAAGTGGGATAGAAAGGAATGTCAGGAAACATGATTACAGAAAGCTTGTAAGCCCATCTTCAGCCTATATCTGATTGGAATACCTAAGAGGGGTTCTAGAACTTGCCCAAAAAATAGGCCTCTTGCAGAGTCTTTGCAGAGTATAGGACCTTAGGTGAAATCTCAAACCCCATCCAGAACCTTCTGAGGTGGGACATTCCCACTAGAAAGGACAAGCAGACCAGGCTGGAACAGCTAGAGTGACAAGAAGATACATCTTCAAAGAAAGATGAGCAGGAAAAACCCAAAACAAAAATGGCAGTATGATTGGCTACTACAAGAATAAGCAAGTTGTTCGCCGGGAAGACATCAAGACAAGCAATCAAGTTCCTTCAGGACAAACTCCCCTCTAAGACTCAAACTCAAAGGGAACACATGAGCAGGCATGTAAACCTGCTGGTACCCATGTTGGTCTATGGTGAGTGGAAGAGGGGGAAAGGCAGCAATGAAGAAATGGGCTGAATTCAGCCATGTTCCATAGACTTCCATTGACCTGGAGATGAGAGAGAGAAGAGGAAGGGCAGGTTGGTCCAAAGTGTGGTGAGACCTGGGGATCCTTGAGCCCATGGATAAGGACATAGCCACTGAGGGCTAGAGCTGAGAGTGAAGCATCCAGGTGATATGAAGTGAGGGGAGACTCACAAAAACACCCATAGTTGCAGATAGTACCCATTTGACCTAGCCTTGGTGGCTTGATAATCAGAACTCGACTAGAGGAAGATTAAAAAAAAAATTTTTTTTGATAAAGGAAATGAGGGTAAATTGCTAAAATTTGATGAACTTGACCTATACTTATGGATGTAGTAGCTCAAAATACCAACTGAGAGGGAAGGAGTCTTCAGATGAATTATCAGTCCTATCCCCTCTGTATACAGGGTTGATAGGGACAGGGAATTTAGACATTGGCTACCTAAAACGAGGGGGCGATAAAGGCACGAAGTGAGTGGCTTACACGTTTTCATGAGGTCAGGGAAGATAGAGTCCCCACTGAATAGTTTTCATCTTGTCTAGATGGGTCTGGTGAAAAGAGATGGGGATAAGATTCTTAGGATTCAGTTGCGAGTAATTGTTATCATGACAAATTGCAATTGTCACAATTGTAAAGTTAGAAATTTTGTAAAAAAAAATGGGGGAGACTTAATCTTACAGTCCAGAAACAGAGGACCCTAGGACCATCAAGGGAGAAGAGCACAAGCGGAATGTGGGACCCTATCCAGAGAAGCAGCAACACCAGTGATAAGGACATGGAGAGAGGGCGTAGCTGAGGACTCTAAATTCATGGAATTAAAGGGACTGAGAGCTGGTGGCCAGGAGGCAGGCTTGCAGAATGTGCCCTTTGGTGGTTTAAATTATTATATATGCCTGAGTGTTTAAAAAAAAAAAAAAGAGCTAAAATGAATAGAGTGAAATACATAGTGCATGGAGGGGATTATAATCATTGTAAATGAAACAAAGTATATGATTTATTGAATGTAAAACTGATCTGCCTTGTAAACTTTCATTCAAGTCACAATAAAAAACTTTTTAAAAAATGGTTCATGTGACTATTGTTGTATGTTTTACCACGGTAAAAAAAATTTTTCTCATCAAGAATTCTGTCAAACTGGGACAAGGGCTAGGGCATTTCTAGCTTGATGCCCAGGTTCCCAGCCCAGGCATTGAGTGGGAGGTGGTGTCCTTTACTGGGAGGAGAGACACAGGGAGGGACAGTGATGTGTTTAGTGTGAATCACTCAGTGTGTGACACAGGTGGGAGGGGCTGGGTGGAGTGGAGAACTGAAGTCAAAGCTCTAAGGACAGATTTGGCCGGAGACACAGGTTGTTGTTGTTAAGTGCCATCAAGTCAGTGTCGACTCATAGCAACCCTGCATAGGGTTTCCAAGGAGTGGCTGGTGAATTTGACCACCGATATTGTGGTCCAGTGCTTTATCCCACAGTGCTGCCACACCAGGGCTAATAATAGTAATGCTGCCATGTGCCAGGCCAGTGCTAAACACATTCCACCTCCTTTAGTCCTTACAACAGCTCTGTGAGCCAGGGTCAGTTTTGATTTTCTGTTGTGTTTCTGAGGCAGTTGTTATTATTCTCACTTGACAAAAAGGAAACGTGATTCAGTTCAATCACGGACTGTGTAAAGGTCATCTATACCCAAGTCTGTGTAAATCCAAAGCCAGTGCTCTGAGTGACCAGACAATGCAAAGGGGTGAGGAACAGAGCAGAGGCAGGCCCAGAAGAGCATAGAGAAAGTGCCTGCACTTTCTCTGGCCTGTAGGGGGTGCCACACTGAGGAGTACACATACCCAAGATCTTTTCAGAAACACGCAACCAAGTGCTCTGTAACCTGCAGAATTTCCCACATGGAAAGTGTGAAGAAAGAAACAAAATGAGCTCCTCAGGTTGGGATGACCAAAGTGCCAACATGTAACCCAGCTGCCTTGGAGCTGACGTCAACTCATATGAGTTAGGAGAATGGCGCTTCACAGGATTTTAGAAGTAAGTCTCCAGGCATCTCAGGGTAGACTTGAATCTCCAACCTTTCCGTTAGCAGCTGAACATATTAACAGTTTGCACCACCCAGGATCTTCCACAATTGACATTTGGGAAAAACAAAAAACCCACAATCAAGACTCCCAGCAACCCTAGATAGGACAGAATAGAACTGCTACTTAAAATTTTCAAGACTGAAAATCTTTATGGATGCCAACAGCCTCATCTTTCTCCTGTGGAGCAGCTGGACTTACAGCTAGTAGCCCAATGCTTAGCCCACAGTGCCATCTGGGCTCCTTACACTTGATATTACATGCACTCAATTAGGATGGCACCTAAGTCCCATGCCCACTCCTCTAGCTCTTCGAGGACAGGAAAGACAAGGATCCCAAGAGTAAAACCATGAAGGAGAAAAGGTCAGCACATCACATCATCTATCCTGGGGGAAGAAAGCATAGCTCATAGAAGTCTTCTCTCTGAAGCCAAAGTGGGAGAAAGTGGCAGGGGTGTGGAAGGACTGGCCGGTTGATGTCCTCTCGATCCTTTTTTTTTTAATACCCATGTACTGATTAACTCGAGCCCTGGTATGGCACTGTAGGATCAGCACTGGACTGCTAACCAACTGTAAGGTCCGTGGTTCAAACGCACCAGCTGCTGCTCAGAAACCCCATACTGCCACTGAATCAGAACCGACTCAATGGCCCTTACTGACAACACTAACTAAATATTTTTTTATTGCCTGTTATTTAAGAACGTTTAATTTGGTTCAACAATGTTGCTAGATGTGGAGTCCCTGGGTAGTGTAAACAGTTAAAGTGCCCAGCTGCTAATCAAAAGGTTAGAGATTCAAATCTCCTCAGAAGCGACTTGGAAGGCCTGATAATCTATTTCCAAAAAACAACAGTCACTTATGGAGTATAGTTCTACTCTGACACATGTGGGGTCATCATAAGTCACAGGCAACTTGACAGCCACTGGTACTGGCATGCTACTGTGATACAGAGCTGACACAGAAGCCAGCCTAGAAATCATTCCACAGTCCAAACACTGCGGTAACAAAATGGGTTGCTTCAAGGGGTAGTAAACGCTCCATGTCTGGAAGCCTTCGAACTGAAGCTGCTTGACTACTCTCTGGGTTGTAGTTAGAGATATTCCTGCATTGAATACCAGTCTGCTGAATTCTAATCTTTCATAATAGGGAGTCAGTAGATAATATCTTCAGTTGTTTTTATCAGAAACAGAGCCATGTAAGCTGCTTATTTAGAGTGAAGGAAGGAACAACAGAAGAAATAGAAAACAGAGTTAAGTAGCTTCCTCTAAAAAGCGTGACTACAAATGGGAAGGGTGGGGTAAGGGGTCATTGTTTCGTCTCTCTGCCAGGGGTATATAATTTGATAGAAATTTAGTAACTCAGAAAAAACTCTAATGGGTTTAAAAAAAAAAAAAAAAAGATAACCACACAGTTACTAAATTTTCTGTTTCTAAGAAATATTTAATAACATGGGTAATGTTCAAAATATTATATACACACACATTAATGTACCTAAGTAAACTGAAAGAAGTATGCTAAAAAGTTCTTTGCATGGCAAGAATACTGGTGATAATTATTCTCTTCATGTTTCTCTGAAATTTTTCATATTCTTTAACAAACATGCTAATTCCAATCATCCCAAGAGGCATCACATCTTTTAAGATAAAAAACATCAGTAATTATAGCAGATTAAATATGGCTCTCATCATGTTATGGAATTGGTTTGCCTACCCCTTGAGCCTGGGCTGGCCTTCAAGGGCCCCAGGGAGCATCCAGGGCCCCCGTACCAGCTCGCACCAGTCAGACAGATAAGTGAGCCTTCTTGGGCCAATCAGACCCAATGGCAGCTGCACTAGTAATTCAGGCGAGACTAGCAGAAGCATGGCCTAGCTGATTTATTTTCAAATCTCAAGTCATATAAATGGTCAATGTTTTAAGTCATTTCTTTTGGGGTGACCGGTGAGACTTACATAACACTACATAACAGAAATAGTATCAGAGATGAGACATCCCCTTGTCCTTCCACCCCCCACCACAGTACCTGTCCAAGGAGTGCCGATGACCTCTTGGCTCCACTCACTCCACAAGCCATGCCCAAACTCCTCCTGGGCCCGAACCTGGACCACATGCTTCTTGCCACTCCACGCATCACTGATTATATAGTGGTTCTGGTGGTCCTTGACCTGCCAGTGGGAGGCACAGTGACCTTGGGGCGGGGTCCTGCTGAGGCAGGTCCACAGGACTATGACTGTTCTTGGCAACCTCCTGTGCTTTCAGCTGGTCCCTCCCAGGGTCAGGTGGGTGACCAAGCTGCGAAGCGATGCTCCAAAGACTCACACTACCCTGGAGGCTCAGCCATGGGGCTGCCCTCAGGGTTCCATAGGCTGAGCTGTAAGGCACTGCCCCACCCCCTGTTGTTGTTAAGTGCTGAGTCTATTCCTGTATAGAGTTTCTGAGGAGTGGCTGGTGGATTTGAATCACCAACACTGCAGTTCAAACCAACCTTGTGATCCAGTGCCTGTCCTAACAGAGCCACACTAGGACCCCTAGTAGTTATAAACTCTTGGCAGCCTCATATCTTTGATCAACTACATATTTAGAGCCCAAACCTCTTCCTAGGTCAGTTTCTCATTTAAACCCTTCCTTATAAACAGGACTATAAAGAGATTAGCCTGGTAGTTTTATTCCCATTTTATAAATGAAGTAACTGAGGCTTAGAAAAGCAAAGAGATTTATCCAAGGCTATGTGGTAGTAAGGAGTCCTGGTGTGGCACTGTGGGCTAATGCATCAGACTGCAAAGTCATTTGAACTGCAAGGTTAGTGGTTCAAGCTTACCAGCTGCTCCTTGGAAGCCCTATACAGGGTCGCTATGGGTCGGAATCGAATCGATGGCACTTAACAACAATATGTGGTAGTAAAGGAGCTCTGGTAAAGTAGTGGTTATGAATCGGGCTGCTAACCCCAAGGTCAGCATTTCGAAACTACCAGCTGTTCCGCGGGAGAAAGATGAGGCTTTTTGCTCCTGTAAAGATTTACAGCCTCGGAAACCCTGTACAGGGTCGCTATGAGTTGGAAATGACTCCATGGTACTTAACAACAACAACAACAACAATGTGGTAGTAAGTTATAAGGCTCAAACACCTTTTAACTACCCTCGAGGTGCCGGGGCAGTTTTTCGTCTAAAAGTGAAAACTGAACTTACCATCTCGGTTGTGAATGACTTTGACTGTTCTGCTCGGTATCGGAACTGAAACTGTAGCCGGTAGTAACGAGAGTTCCAGGAAGGAGGATTTTGCCAGGTGACACTGAGCCAGCGGGGGTTTCTGGGCATGGCGGTGACTGTGATGTTGACCGGCGGGTCGGGCTGCACTGTGGGAAGACAGCATAAATCCGATGCAGAAGCAAGTAAGGTGCAGAAGAGAGACCGTCAAAAACTCTGCCATCCCCCAGCCACATCCTTTCAAGGTCCTCATCTGCCATAGTCAGAACTTTGGGCAAACGTAGCCCCAAAGCACCAGTTCACCAAGCCCTTCAACCAGCCCATTTCTTTGCCCGCCAAGAAGTCTATCTAATCTCCAGTTACCATCAAGTCTATTGGACTCATGGTGACCCCAAGTGTGTCAGGGCATGACTGCGCGCCACAGGGTTTTCAATGGCTGTGAACTTTCAAGAGTTCTCCAGGCCTTTCTCTAAGTGGATTCAAACTGGCAAGGTTTTAGTTAGTGGCGCACTTAACCATTTGCCAAGGACTAGCATTAACTTTTTTTTAAAGCAGATGGAGGGTAGGAGGTTAGGAAAAGCTTACTTACAGATATTTAAATCCTTAAATTGTAGGATTCCACTGGAATTATGGCCTACACTGTTGGCGACACACAGGAACAATATGTACCAAGAGCTGTCTCCCTCAGGAATGTTCAACTGGCAGGAGAACTTCTGGCCTTCCTGGGAATACTGACAAGGCTCCTGGAAGGATTTTACCAGGCTGTCGTGACTGCTGGACACAAAATAAGGACAGGTTTCGAACATCAGTTTCCATACTTACTCAAGAGGGGAGAGAGAGTCAGGACCACTCAGACTGGGGAGTTTAACACCAGCCTGCTTATTAACTCTTATGCGTGTCTTAAACAGGTTCTTCAACTTCTCCGAACCTTCATTTTCTCATTTGAAAATGGGACTATTGATAGAAACTACCACAAAAGGTTTTAGTTAGGATTAGGAAATGTATGTGAAACATGAGCAGCTGGCAAGGAGATGCTAAACCTGAAGGCTCTGCCAGTCACTTCAGCATCAGATGTGGGGTTCCTGCTCAGTGCCAGATCCTGAGCTCTTGGCATGGTAGAAAGGGATCAAGAAAGGCCCCACCCTGGCCTCAAGGCACTGATAATAAAGCCTTACCCTCAATGACTACAACAGCCATTCCAGAAACATGAAATGCTAGTTAGGGATTGGCAGAGAAGAGAGCATTTCCGGCAGGTGAGCCCAGGAATAGATGAAGACATACAGATGAGTCAGAAGGCCTGGAATTTTACTCATTTGTGACATACTTGTCGATTAGCCAGCGGCCCATTTATGGAAAATAGTGCCTCTGGCAGTTACTTTTTAATGGCTGCATGAGCTCTCACAGTGGCAGTGGAAACTGTGATGGTGAATAGAAACTGTTTATTGGTACCACCCACTTAAGTGGCACCCAAGGCACATACCACACCTGTCATACCCTAGATATGCCTCTGGTGTGGGCATGGGAGGCCTCCACAGCCACCAACCTCTAGGTGGGATCTGAGTCCAGCCCACGGAAGAAACCATGCAGTGAAAGCAGCTTCCATCCCACCTAAACACTGGGAAAGTGGCGTCATCACTGGTTTACAGGTGAGCCCTTCCCCACTCCACCTACAGCCCCTGTCCTAAATCTTATACCCTTCATGCCTCTCCCAAAGCTCCCAGCACAGTGCCTAGCCCATAGCACCAAATGTTGGTCAAAGGAAAGAACAAGCAAGCTCATTCTGGTGTAAATGTGAGAAAAAGCAGAACATAGAGCTAGCTGGGTAGGACCCCAGGGAACTCTGAAGTTTCTGAGGTGCTTGAAGTCACTCTCCCTCCCCCTTCCTCAATTCAAAGGCCTCACTAACCAGTGATAGTGGGCAACCCAAGAGGTAAGTGGAGGTCCCTGAGGCTGGTACAAGAAGAGGGTGTGAGCGAAACACTTTGTTCTTTCCCTGACTGTTAACCAGTAGCACAGGAGTGTTCTGAGGTATCTCCTGAGTAAGCTCTCTGTGGGCTGGTCTGGGAAGCTGCCAGGCAGTGTGGAACATCCTGATTAGGGAAGAATGCCTCCCAGGTATCAAATAATCAAAGCACAGCTTTGGGTTGTGACTTCTAGGCTTCACTACTTGAGAGGGAAGCAAACCATCCAAATGGCGGCTGTACCATTTGCAGATGGGTAACTTACATATTTTTTCATAGTGGTCAAGATACAAAACTTACTACAGGCCATCTTGAGACTCTAGAGACAAACACAAGTGGATGTCACACCACCTGTAGATTTGGATACTCCAGTGGCTGATGGCTCACATTCAGTTATAAGCATCTGAGCATAGGAAACCTGAGTCACGGATTTGTTGTTGTTGTTAAGTGCGGTCAAATCAGTTCTGACTCATAGTGACACTGTATAGGGTTTCCAAGGAACAGCTAGTGGGTTTAAACCACGAATCTTATCGCTTATCCTACAACTCCTGAGTCATCGACTGTTGTTGTTAAGTGTTGTTGAGTCAGTTCTGACTCATAGGGACCCTGTATAGGGTCCTTTCCAAGGAGCAGCTGGTGGGTTTGAACTGCCAACCTTGTGGTTCACAGTTTAGTACTGCTCCTACAAAGCCACACCAGGAGTCATGGATAGAGTCAGGTCAAATGGCATTTGTTTTCGGCATCTTCCACCTTCTCCACCTCCATACCTGGACTCTCCACTTTGCTGGCTGGGAAAAGACTCTCCAAAAGCCTAGTGATCCCCAGGCAGGTGTGGCTTTCTGCCCCATGGTATCGTATCACCTCAGCACCAGCACCCTTCCCTCTCCTCAACCCCCAACACTTCCTCTCCAGCCTTTATAATGAAAATAGCCTGAGGTGCCACTCAATCAGACACTGATAGGGTTGAAGGCATTACCCCCCACCAAAGAGGTCTAGAGCAACACCTCAAGCCTTTGGACTTTGAATGAATAGATCAGACAGACTGGGGTGATTCCCAGTGTAGCCATTACTACCTGGATGCTCTTAGACAAGTTAGTGAACCTCAGTTTCTTCTTCTTTTAAGTGAGAAAAATAACACTCAAGTCTCAGGACTATTATTATGGTTTGAATGAGTTAATGGGGCAAAGTTGATGGCACAGTGCCCAACACAGGGTGAGCACATAAATGTAATTCTCACTGCTCTCTCATTCCCTCCTCATCATATCTGTTGTTCTTGTTAAATACCATCAAGTCAGTTCCAACTCTTAGTGACCCTGTATAAAGTTTTTGAGGAGTGGCTGGTGGATTTGAACTGCCACCTTTGTCCCAAACACAAAAACTTTGGGATTTATGGCCTGCTTTGAACCCACCCTAGCACTACCAACACTACCAACACCATTCTGGAGGCCTCAGTGAAGATGGCGTTGGTTGGTTGGTTACATGCCGCAGAGTCAGTTCCGATTCATAGCGACCCTGTATAGGGTTTCCAAGGCTATAAATCTTTACAGGAGCAGAAAGTTTCATCTTTCTCACAAACAACAGCAGGTAGTTTCGAACTGCTGACCTTGAGGTTAACAGCCCGACTCGTAACCACTACACTAGCAGAGCTCCTTGAAGATGAAGTAGACATTAGCAAAGGGCAGCCCCCAAATACTTACACCCTCTGCACTGACAACACGGTCTTGGTTGTTGGAGAAGGGATGTTCCGAGGGCTCCATTCACACCAAACACTGCTGATGGGGCTCTTCTGGAAGCAGGAGATCTGGGGCTTTTCAGGAGGAACTGAAACAGCATAGCACAGCAGGCATGAGGAGGTAAGTCTCCGCACTGAGAGGGCACTTGGCTCTACCCCTAACCTTTAGCTGGAAATTGTAGATCAAAAATCTCCTTATTTTAGGTTGAAGACTGGGGTGCTGGGCAAGGGAAGGGAAACCAGACAGAAAAGAACAAGGACTTTGGAGTCATACAGACTTCACTGGGTGGCCCTGGTGGTGGGGTGGTGGTTATATGCCGTCGAGTCAGTTCCGACTCATATTGACCCTGCATAGGGTTTCCGAAGCTGTAAATCTTTATGGGAGCAGAAAGCCTCATCTTTCGCCCATGGAACAGCTGGTAGTTTCGAACTACTGACCTTGAGATTAGCAGGCTGACTCGTATCCACTATGCTACCAGAGCTCCCTGAATAAGTCTCAATCTCTCTTTAGTTTCCATACCTATAAAATTTATAAATAATACTACTGCTTTCCCTTCCGGGTTACTGAAAAGAATGAAATGAGAAACCAAGTAAGAAAATGTTTAGCACAGGGCTTGGCACACAAGGCGTCCAAAGCTCTTCTTCCTGTCCTTTCATCTAGAACTGAGGGAACGAAGAACCTGTTAATTTTAAACATTGTTAAATGCCTTGGAGTCAGCTTCAACTCATAGTGATCCTTCATAGGGTTTCTGAGGTTTGATAGCTTAGCATATGCTGCTACAGTTTTAAACATCATAGGCAAATGTGTATATGCGAACATACATATACACAGACACATTCATTTAATCTTTGCAGTGATTCTGAGGTAAAGTAATAACATTAACCTTATTTCACCCAAGAGGAAACTGAGGGTCAGAAAAGATAAGCTATATGTGAAGGAGGATTCAAACCCAGGCTGCCTGGTTCCAGGTCCCTTGTATTAACTTGTTTGCCATAATCTCTAACAGGCCTGCTGTGGCATTCCTTACTGGCCAGATGCCTCCTCCCAACAGGAATCTCCACCAGCAAACTCGCTGGCCTTTCCCCAAAGTTCTTGGGTCAGAAAAATAACAGGACTGTAAAGGGTCAGGCAAGGAATGTCTCTGGAATGCACAGAGTGTTTCTTACATGGGGCTGGGAGCTACCCGGAAGCTGTCTCCCTGGGCTCTGAAGTCACCCACTCACCCTCCACAATCAGGCGCAGGGAGCCAGCTGGGCGACCATCCTGGTAGCAAGAATAGTTTCCAGAGTCACTGAGATGCACCGACCTCAGAAGCAGCCTCCTTCCCAGGCCAGCCTGTCTGCCTTGGTGTGAGTCCACAATCTGGTTTCTGAGTACCCAGTGAACTGTGCCGTTGTCTCCTGGTTCCACGTCTGGGCAGGTCAGGGTAACATTGGCCCCTGGCCGGCAGGTCAGCACATTGCTCATCACTTCTGGAGATGGGAGAACACATTCTGTAAGCCTACAGTAACAGGAAGAGGGGACTCCATTCCTGATTTTGGTCTACCAGGCCTTGCAGACCTTCATGGTCTCATCTCTCCCAACTCCAACCTTGGAAGGAAGGAGTCCTTCCCTGCCCTCTAACTCCCACCAGTTCTCACACTCAACTTTTCCTACCCACCCCATGCTAATTCCTCAGACTAAGAATCTCTACTTAAAGGTCTTCCCTGTCCCTCCAACTGGCTTTGTTGTTAAGTGCCTTTGAGTCGGCCCTAACTCATAACAACCCTGTATAGGGTGTTTCCAAGGATTGGCTGGTGGATTTGAACCGCCAACTTTGTGGTTAGCAGTTCAGTGCTTATCCTACAGTGCTACACCACGACTTCCTACTGTCTTGCTAAGTGCCGTCGAGTTGGTTCCGACTCATAACAACCCTGTGTAGGGTTTCTGAGAAGCAGCTGGTGCATTTGAAGTGCTGACCTTGTGGTTCGCAGTTCAGTGTTGGTCCTATGAGAAGTCCGACTAGCTTAGGCCTCCATTAAGTGCTACCATTCCCGTGGTGGAGCCCATCATGCACTGCTGTACAATCGCCAATTCCACGACTGTCTCCCCCTCAGGACTCGAAGCGCTGTTTTGTTCCCCTTTCTATTCCAGTGCCTAGAACCTTACCCATTACACTGCAGTGACCCTCAAGTAACTGGTGAATATGTGAATCAAAGAATGTATAAGTGAATGAGTGCCAGGTACCAGGTGGGACTCACAGATACACAAATATACAGATAGTCTCAGAACCACAGGGTCTTCATAGTAGAAAGGCACATTTTACAGATGAACTGAGGCACAAAGACACAGACTTGTCTAAGATCACCAAGATACCTACAGAGCTGGGATGCAAAGCAGGTCTCCCAACTGACTCTTCAATATTCCCTCAATCACTGAGGAACTGCCTACTCAACTCTTTGGTATAAAAAAAAATTAAAATGTTCGTTTTAGTCCCAGGAACCAATTTGGAAAGTTAAAAAAGACAAATGCTCTTCCCAACCCCCTGAAAAAAATTATGTGTGTGCTACTCAAAGAAACAGGAAATTACAGATTAACGGTGTGAATACACAGATTTTTGTTTTGCTGTTTTTGACTACAAGTCTCAGATTCATAGACTCTAAGATATAAAGGGAGCTTGGTGATCTTGGGCAAGTCTGTGTCTTTGTGCCTCAGTTCATCTGCAAAATGTGCCATCTTACTACAAGACTATCTGTATATTTGTGCATCTGTGAATCCCACCTGGTACCTGGCACTCATTCACTTATGCATTCTTTGATTCACACATTCACCAGTTACTTGAGGGCCACTCCAATGTGTTGGGCAATGTTCTAGGTACTAGAATAGAATGGAAAACAAAACAGTGCTTAGAGTCCTGAGGGGGAGACAGACATTGGCAATTGTAGAGCAATGCATGATGGGTGACACCAGGGGGACAGTAGCACTTAATGGAGGCCTAAGCCAGTTGGTGGAGTCCTGGTGTAGCGCTGTGGGTTAATGCATCAGAAAGCAAAGCCATTTGAACTGCAAGGTTGGATATTCAAGCTCACGAGCTGCTCTTCAGAAACCCTATACAGGGTCATTATGGGTCGGAGCCGACTCAACAGCACTTAACAACAACAAACCAGTTGAACTCCTGGTATGGTGCCATAGGATCAGCATTCAACTGCTATCTACAAGGTTGGCGATTCAAACCCACCAGTTGCTCCTTGGAAACCCTAAACAGGATCACTATAAGTCAGAACTGACTCGACGGCACACAACAACAAGATATAAAGAGGTGTCTTAAGAAGCCCTGGTGGTGCTGTAGGATAAGCACTGGACTGCTAATCACAAGGTTGGCAATTCAAACTCTTCAGCCTCTCCTTGGAAGAAAGATGAAGCTTTGGCTCCTAAAGATGTACAGCCTCATGATAGGATTTTATGATTCAGTGGTGAGTAATTGTCATCAGGATTAATCTTGATTACCACAAGTGTAAATGTAGAAGATGTATAACTAAAAGGGGAGAGTAGTTCATCTTTCATTTCAGCAACAGAGGACCCCAGGACCATTAAGAAGAAGAGCATGAGCGAAGCGTGAGATCCTACCTAGAAAAGCGGTGACAGCAGACACAGAGGCATAGGCAATGGCATAGAGAGACAGAGCAGCTGAGGACCCTAGGCCCATGGACTGAGAAAGGTTGTGTGCCTGCAGGCAGGAGGCTGGGTTACAAAATGTGCCCTTTGGACATTTAAATGAATATATATTTTTTGTTTTGTATGTGTATATCAAATATTTTTGCTTTGTTCCTTTGTGAAAAATAAGATGTAAAAGAAAGCCACAGGGTGAAAACAGAATAACTGTCGTTCCAGGGAGCAGTGAGTAATCATTGAGATGAAACAAAATACAGGATTGGTTGAAAGTAAGGCTGATAAGCTTGTCTGTTTACCTTCACTCAAGTCACAATAAGAAGTTGGGAAAAAAAAAAAAAGATTTACAGCCTCAGAAATCATCTATATAGAGTTGCTGAGAGCTGGAATCTACTACATGACAGTTGATTTGGTTTGGGCAACAGGCTTCAGAAAAGTCAGCCTTAAAAACACTACGGAACAGTTCTATGTACACATGGGGTCACCATGGGTTAGCAACAACTCAGTATCAACTGACAAGCTAAATTAGTCTAAAGTGGACTCATCAAATTAATTTGACCAGTTGAGGGAACTGAGAGGCCAGGGAATACAGCCAGTTGTCATGTTAAGCACACTTGGTCCTTCAAACCAAATGTATAAACCATTCACTCTCAAGCAGCAACAAGAAATCTAGCCAAAGATTTTGGAAAGGCCCAGCAGATGTCTGAGCCCTGACCTTAGCCTTCTGCTTGTACTCCTGGGGCTGAAGGACAAGCAAAACTGTTTCTCTCAAGCCTTCATCCTTGGAAGGAAGTTTTTATCTTATACTTGGCAGACAGCCATTGTCATAAATTGAATTGTGTCCTCCCCCCTCCCAAAATGTATCAACTTGGCTAGGCCATGATTCTCGATGATTGGGCAGTTATGTAATTATGTATTTTGTCAATTTTGTAATGACGTAATCACCCCCTTGATGAGATCTGATATAATCAGCTAATCAGTTGTAAGGGGATTAGGGTGGGATGTAACACCCTTACTCAGTCCACAAGGCTGATGTAAGTGGAGTTTCTCTAGGGTATAGACTGCATCACCTTTTATAAGAGCAAGCTACCATCAAGAAACACAAAACACAAGATGGTGGATCGGGTAGATGTGCAGTGAGGAGCTCTGTCAGCAACAACACAGAATGCCAGACCAAGCAGGCTCAGGGGATGGTGCCAGAACTCTGAACCACATATAAAGGAATGTTTAGAAGGTTGGAAGGCTTACAGCTAGGGGAATTTGTAACAGAATCAAGAAATCCATTGCTTTCTAGTTCAAGATGCTCAGCTGCTCCCGGAGCTGCCATCTTGGGAGAGACCAAGCGGGGGAAGGATCAGAGCAGCCACAAATGCCTGACAGAACCACAGAGATAAAGGTGTGAACATTCTTTTTTTTTTTTTTCCTTTGGTATCTGTTCATTGGTTTCTTGCTGTCTGCGCACCTCCATTCTGGTGACTAGAGGGGATGCCTGAGCGAATGGACATCCCACCCACATCCCTGGAGGGTTCTACTACACATGACAAGAGATCTCCTCAAAATTTAAAGTACATTTCCACTTAAAACCAAACAGCCACCACTCGTCTGTTGTCTGTCAGTTTGTCATACTGTGGTGGCTTGTGAGTTGCCGTGATTCTCAAAGCTATGCCACCAGTATTTTAAATACCAGTAGGGTCACCCATGGTGGACAGGTTTCAAATGAGCTTCCAGATGGAGACAGACTTGGAAGAAAGAGTGACAAACTACTTCTGAATATTTAGTTACTAAAAACCTTATGAATAGCAGAGAAACACTGTCAGATATAGTGCCGGAAAATGAGCCCCTCAGATTGGAAGGCACTCAAAATGCGACTGGGGAAGAGCTGCCTCCTCAAAGTAGAGTTGACAATGATGACACGAAAAGAATAAAGCCCGTCGGAGAAAAACCCACGGGACCTTCATATGCTGATGGGGCACAACTCAAAATGAAGAGAAACAGCTGTAAACATCCACTGAAAATCGGAACATGGAATGTACAAAGTATGAATCTGGGAAAATTGGAAGTTGTCAGAAATGAAATGGAACGCATAAACATTGATATCTTAGGCATTAGTGAGCTGAAATGGACTGGTATTGGCCATTTTGAATCTGACAGCCACATGGTTTCCTATGCCAGGAATGACAAAATGAAGAGGAATGGCACTGCATTCATTGTCAAAAGGAACATATCCAGATCAGTCATGTGGTACAACACTGTCTGTGATAGGATAATATCCATGCACCTACAGGGAAGCCTGGAGTCCTGGTGCGGTGCTGTGGGCTAAAGCATCAGACTGCAAAATAGTTTGAGCTGCAAGGTCAGTGGTTCAAGCTCACCAGCTGCTCCTTGGAAACTCTATACAAGGTTGCTATGGGTCAGAATCGACTCCACAGCACTCAACAATAACAACACAGGGAAGCCTAGTTAATACCACTATTATTCAATTTTACACACAAATCACTAATGCCAGGGAGGATGAAATAGAAGAATTTTACCAACTTCTTCAATCTGAAATTGATCAAATATGCAATCAAGATGTATTGATCCTTACTGGTGATTGGAATGCAAAGGTTGGGAGCAAAGAAGAAGGACCAGTAGTTGGAAAATATGGCCTTGGTGATAGAAATGATGTTGGAGAACACATGATAGAATTCTGCAAAACCAATGATTTATTCATTTCAAATACCTTCTTTAGACAGCATAAGAGACGACTATACACATGGACCGCACCAGATGGAATACATAGAAATCAAATAGACTACATCTGCGGAAAAAGACGATAG